GAGAGAATTAGAAAAAAAAAAAAAAATAAAAAAAAAAAATAAAAAAATTGTCAAGAAAGACACGCAGAATTCAGTAATAAACAAAGACGGGATTACGAAATCTGATTTCTCACCATATAAAATCATCAAGATTCAAGAAGTCATAGTGATCAATTAAAAATAGATATGCATAGAGTCAAAATGAATCCACAAATGAGGCTAACACATTTCAGACAGGCAATATAAAAATATCACCAACTGTAGAGTTTTGACTATTTTTAGGTAGAACTTTATGTGCAAACTTGTCATTTTCAAATAGGTAATTTGGTGGTATTTAATACTCCTCATTCCTGTCTATATTGAAGAAATAATTCAACTCAACCATTACTTCTTCTAATACATCATAATCATGAGAATTCAATATTCCCCCATCCCATTGCTGCTAGTCATGGTGGTACTACTCGCCGCCAGCCACCGCTCGACTGGCCGAAACATCCACAGAGCCGCCATTCATGCCACCACACAGATACCTGTTTCATGGTATTCATCAATAGAAGCTCCCAAGAAATCCAGAACTCTAGAGGATGATACGAGTTTCAGAGTTTCGGCTCGTAAAGTACCAGGAGGGTCAAACCCTCTACACAATTAAGTAGCTTCTTTATGGTTCCAACAGCTCTTGGATCACACAAGAAGTTTTGCAATCAACAGTGAGAACTTTAGCTCAGCTTTTCAAGTGCTCTTTTCCATGTAGAAATGTATATTAGATGTTAATAGATTTTCTTGTTGGTTTTGGTTTGGTTGTATACACAAGTCAAGGATGCATACATGATGAATTATGCAAGATATAGTCAATTGTCTTACCTTCAATAGAGATTTCTTCTAAATATTGATGATATTTTGGAATATTATGAAATAGTTTCTCTCCTTAATAGCCATGATTTCGATACAAGATGCACTCACGGTTGATATGGGAATATTAGAAGATGTTTCTTTCGTTGACAATAGAAATTTTACACTTATAATTTTGATTTTGCCCTAATTTGTTTTATAAATAGGAGCTCATCATCAGGATTTTGTATCATCATAAATAAGGAGAGAAAGAAGTTGGAGAAGTTATGGTGTGCGATTTTCTTCCATAAACTTTTATTGAATTACTAAAGCGGTGAAAGATGATGTAGTCTCACTAGAGTATCTATTTTTTTATATGAATTGATTGCTTTCGGTGGAATGAAATTGTTGTTTCTAATTCTCAACAACAATCTTTCGAGTGTACTGTTTACCAACCCTTAGGCCGCCTATATTCCGACTAGCCATTTCGGCAAGACTTACTATATTGTTCAGGGAGCACTGGGAGGGCACATGGATGGAATATACAATCCTTAAGAAATTAATTGTCTCAACATTATAATAGACCTTATACGATGTCTTTCCTAGAGCTCAAACCTTGGTACTGTGAGCTTAACTTCCTAAAACAGTAACACAGAAACTGGTACAGATCCATCCAAGCAGTGGCACTGGATCGTGTAGGACTGTTAGACGAGAGTCACGATTGGTTCGCTTACATGCCTGCGTCGGTTTAGATTTTGTACTGATCCTGTCCTGAGGTGGGCCAGACCATGACGGCCCAGTTGCATAAAGACCCGAAATGGGCTGCTTATAGGCATCGATAAATCCAGGTTTGTGGCAGGCGGGGCTGCCACCCGTCACAAGGACGGCCAGACCTAGACGGTCCTATGGACCAAATGTGTTAAATGCTCTAATATTTTTATCTG